CTTTGCAGTTAACTCTTACAGGCCCTTGTCCATGTACGTACCAAGTTTTATGCCATATCGACACCTGTGCTTTGCAAACAAGCCGTTTACATTCATATCTTCATTCTCCCCGTGTGAGAAATTTTGAAGAAGAAAGCTTGGTACACTTTCCGTTCACATAAGTCTTTCATAACTTTTCATACTTTGTTTCGACCAGCCTATGTTCGTTTATGCAATTTGGAGCCATGTCCTTACGTGCTCATTGAGAACTGAAATAATTGCTGTTTCAAAGCGACATCGTGCGGGCGGCAATTAGCAACAGTGCAGCGTGACGCGCGCGAATTCTAGTGTGTGCCCGTTGAGACATATAACATGTATAACATGAAAATAAGCAGAGAGCAAGCACTAACTACCAATTTTCCGGCGTTCCGCCCCGGACCCGCAGGAACGATATCTCCTTTGCTGTTTTCAAACCCAGACCCAAAACGATATTCAGCCGATAATTGGCTCACCTCGTGCCGGACCCTGAATGGAAAAAAATATAGGAATCTGGCTGTCGAAGAGGCTTAATAACCAAATAATTCTCTGTAATGAACCTGCTGGGAAGTGTCCTACAAAATTTACAGCATCTCAATTTCAGATAGCCCATCATGTCTTTGTTTGACTTGCAGCCGTACGTTCCAGAAACTGCAAGTTTCAGCAAGGAAAATCTTTGTCGAAACCATAGAAAAGCTACCCAACGTTATCATAAACTGAAGAAATGCGTCGACATCGTTTACAAGACTCTTTACGATCCAGCTGGAATTGTCAGTAAGGTAAGTATGTGGTTTGGTGCTCTTGGAAATTTCCTTCAGAAATCATCAAAACAAAGAGTCTCAAAAATGCAAGAGAGTTCTAGAGAAAGCAGAGGTACTTGAGAGCATCCTCTACTGACTTTCAATTCGACGTTCCATATTCGCTGAACAAACATCATAGATGGGATAATGTAATCGTAATTTTAGCCATTTTCGAATTCTCTTCTGATGTTTTGATATAGGTCAATCCGAGAACTCTTCTCGATCATGGAAATGGTTTTGAGACCGTGGTGTTTGAAGGAGTTGCTATCCCCGAACATGGTGAGTTGGACCACCTGTAGAAATAAAGAAAGGAGTGGTATTTCGAAAACGAGCCACGCCGTTCTTGGGTTCATCTTCGTATGAGTGCTCTACTCACAAAACTAGAATTTCCTGCTGAAGAGCTATTTCTTGTGATTTAGCCCGTACCGAATGTTTTCGTGCAAGTAGCATGCATGTGCTCAACAACAATTCTATTTTCACAATCAAATCTGGAAGACCAAAAGAGGTAAATGTGATACATTCTGATTTTGAAAGTAAAACGAAACTATTACAGTTAGCGCATTTTCATAATGCTCTTCAAAGGAAAGTAAATAATTTGTGTTCTGCTCGAATACATTTCAACATAGTAAAACCAAACCTTGAATTTGCTTGTCACAAGAAGAGGAAAAGGAATAGTGAGTTACAATCTTGCCACATGCTCCGACTATCCCATGTAATCCATCACAACATTACATCATCCGTAATTGTGAAAATATGTTCTTATTGTGAAAGAGGCAGACATTCGAAGGTTTCTCTTCCATTCGCTCTCTAGCAGTCCATCACACCATCTCCTTTATTTTCTTCAGGATTCAGTGATTTGCATTTTTTTGTTCTATTTTTTTCTATTTTGCTCAGTGCATTTTTACCGCTCAAGTCATTGTAGCTCCATCAACAGTATTTTATCAATGCTCTATTTCTACAAGGATTTCGAGTCAGGGCTCGGCACAGGTGGCTTGAAAGCGAAAAAAAAAGACAAAAGCTATCGTTTTGAGGCCGAAAAGATTTTTTTACGTTCAAGTTTAAGGTCAAAGGGGACTTTGTGAAAATTTGCAAAAGTCAGGAGGCACCTCTTTTTTTGCATTTTCGGGAAGCCACCTAGTGCAGAGCGCTGTTTCATGCAGAGCACCTCTGCTTATTTGGCGCACGCACATTTTGCTTTATTTATCACTATATAATGTACTGCTTCAATTGCAAAGTATATTCCCTATTTAGTTGCACGAAAGCCGCTGTCCCCGATAGCTTACCTTGATGAGGGCAGTGATGTGCAAGAAACCTACTGGACATCTGAGTCTGATTTCGAGCTCACTGAAGCAGAAACACCTGACCGGCGAGTGGATGGTGTGATACACTTGATAATATGCTGTTTTAAAATTTAAATTGTTCGTTTCCGATATAACTCTTGGAGATTTCATCCCCTCTACTGCATCTGACCATGAGTCTTGGGCTCTTGAACTTCTTCCCATGAGAGGAGAAAAGATTCCATTTTCTAATAACGAGGTACGAAAATTCTACCCATCTGGTGCGATACATGCATGTTTAGTACTGTTCGAAAAAGAAGACTTTTCCAATACTGGTGGATATTTCTGCAAAGTCCCGCAGAAAGTGTATTTTTGAAATTGTTGACGTGAATTTGCAGAAATGGCAGCCATTCAACTTACGTCAAAAGGCATGTGGTTCAGATAACATTGTTAAACTGATGCTTAATAGGAAGACAACACTTCTACTACAGATAACGGAACTAGTACCAGCTCTTAAACTCAATACATATGGTCTCTGCTCCATAAAATGGTTCACACCTTTGAGAGTGTGCATCTCAAATCTGCCCAACTCGCGGAATGTATTTGCAATATTTTTTGAGTTGAGAAGTGATTCGCAAATCCTCAGGTAAATTCCCCATTGAGAAGTAATTCGCAAATCCTCAGGTAAATTCCCCAAACTCCCAGCAGAGGTGTCAAAAACATCTTGCAATTAGATTACATCTTGCAATTAGATTAGTGCTTTTACAGAATTCGAATCAACACGAACACTCAGTATCCTCCTTACGCTGGCCGAAATTCGCTAGTTCAAATGCTAAAAAAGATGAGAGATTTTGATACATTGTTCGATAGTTTGATGGATTTCATTTGGAGAACTTGGAAGTGGTAAGAAAATTTTACTTGGCCTCATTACTCATTGAAATGTGCATTTTGTAGGAAAACCAACGACGGAAATAGTATCGTTGAGAATTTGGAGAATTTTTTACCTGCGGTGAATAGCAGCCTGGTAGCTGTAGTTGTAAGTATAAATGTTTATTCGCCGTTTACTCACATAGTTTGACATATAGTTGCAGTTTGAACTTCATTAAATATCCTTTCTTCTACTTGACTTCCTTTTATGAGACTTTTTGCTGTAAAATACTGTTGGATTTCTGGGACCTAGTTGAGCTTTCATATGGAAAAGGATGAGATGAGATAATTGGGAGGATGATAACTATATTTTGAATATACAGGGTGAAAAAAATGTGAACACTGTTTGATCGCTAATAACTCTCTT